ATCGACTTCCGACCCAACCGGCCGTGTAATAGAGCCCAAAATGCGGCCACAACGCCCCGTCACCTTCCGCGCCGATATTGCCTAGTCATGCGAGTGATGACCATAGAAAGTGATCGGATCGAACCAATCTGGGTCTTGAAGCTATTGTTATAGGATGCGTTTTCGTACAACACTCGCACTGATAAAGGACCGTGCGACCTGAACCCCAATTATAGGCCACAAACTATTTTATCTAACACCCGTGTGACATCACTAATCTTATTAGAATCTATTGGAATTGAAAACGCGGATGGAAAGTATGGAAGGAGACTTTAGAGGCTTATTTCTCATGTTATATATTCTCCATTTCCTTTTAGGTTTTTTTTTTTTTTTTTTTTTTTTTTTTTTTATGGAGAAAAGGGGCAAACGAGCAGGAGGCTCACCTGATGGTAAGTGATTACCGCCGCCCATGAACACCTGCAACACCCGAGGGCTCACAAATGCGTTGCCGGCCTTTTAAGAAAGAGTAAAAGAAATAAAGTGTTTGTTCAATAACTAATAGTTTATGCTTCCAATTTTTATGCATATATTAGGAGAATGACTCAATTAGAATTTTGCTAGCTAAATAATCTGAATTTTAGAAACGTCTACGAGTAGTTCGTACGTGGACGTTCTAGTCTTTTGAATTATGTGCTTCAATTAACGAAGAAAATGGTGGTACCTACAGCAAGGCAGCCGGCCGTTAAACAACGCTAATGTTAACAAAAATGTAAGCGATCAGAGTAAAGATCAAGAGCATATCTGTGGTTTTTTTCTAAATGTGAGATGTGATACATTTTGAGAACTTGCAACACTGTTTGCTGGTGCCGAAATGTTGACAACCAGCTAGCCTGTAGCTGAGAAATGGCGCTAACTAATAAAATTTTAATTATTATAAAAATTTATAAACTTCATCAGATCAGCCTAGGAATACAATAAGCTGACGAAATCCTGAGTTTTTTTTATTACGAAAAGTATTGACGATGATGGGAGAACAGCTGTAACGTGATATACCACAAACTTTACGTTCGTTCCGTCTCTTTCTTACAGAGTTGTTGTTAGAAACAGTAAAATTATTTAACCAGAGATAGTATTCATGTGCTTATTAAAAAGAAGATACAAACTTCACCTTCGTAAAGCAACGATCAAACGTATTATGTTCAATTCATCATATCGAGCTTCTGCATATGTCAGTAAGCTTCACATAAAAACGATTTCTTTATCTGATTAAAGGCATTGGCCGATTGGCATCTTTTTGCAACATATATTTCGTAATTAAAAGTGCTTTACAACCTAATCTAGGTGTTTTTTTTTTCTATAGATCGTCTAAGGTAAGCGTTCTGTTAGTATGGGCATTAAACACTCTAACGGCCGGTTTCTGAAACACTGATCATCGTAGGTCAACTAATCAGCTGTCAAATGGCTTTCAAATTTTATTTTAGTTGCCAAAAGGATGGTTAAACTCTTTGAATTGATCGTTCTGATCATTAGAAGATCGTTCTGGTAAATTCAGAGAGTTTAACCGTCCTTTTGGCAACTAAAATGAAATTTGAAAAGCCATTTGACAGTTCATTAGTTGACATCTACGATGATCAGTGTTCCAGAAACCGGGCGTAAGTGTTTTTAAAAATGACACACAAATCGCGTATTGCGCTCCGTGTAGACGGACATATTCGTAAAGTACTATAAAAAACAGTACGTAATACCCACCACTTCCATATACAGACAGCACAAAGCGTCGCGCCAAACCGCAATCGCGACTGATTCGTCTCCAACCAATTTGCCGGTTAATCCAGCAAAGGGATCGGACCCGACGCCTTCAGACCCACCCCCAACAAATTCACTTACGGTTCCCGCTCGCGCGAACTGCCGATACCCACTCGTGGAATCTTGATCTGTGACAACAACGGAAGCTATATTGTGTTAATGTGGGTGTGCCTCACCTTTAATAGTTTACAATGGTATATACACGCAAAATCTTCTGATTACTCATATGAAATGGGTGGGTACAGTATGATGTATAACGTGGATGTAATTATTTTTTTAATGTATTTTTATTTTATTTTATGTGAGAATGTGGCAAGCGAGCTGGGCGGTTCACCACGGCCCCATTTGCAACACCCGCAGGGTTGCAGCGTTGCAACCTTTCAATAAAGTGGGCCCCGGCTACCTCACTCACCAGACGAAACGCAGAAGTGTAACACTTCTACTTTACGCCGGTCTTCTGTGAGGTCGTGGTACTTACCCAGATGGACCTCTACCCATTCGTGCAACAGTGAACACTGTTGCGTAGTCCGTGCCTTCTTGCCAGGCTAGATAAACACACATTGTTAAGCTGATTGTTAAAATGTGTAATATCGGCTAGTGGTTCTACAAACATGTCGACGTCGCCCCATCGTTGCGACCGCCGTGTTTGCCAGCGACCGGTGTCCAGTCGGCGCGGTACTGAACAAACCGCTATGTTTACACGCCGGTCTCCCAGATATTTGTTCTTAATTTAAGTGGGCTATAACACTTGGATGAAGATAGATATGTGCTTTCGGCGATAGGAAGTCTTCGACATTTGTTTACTTTAGAGCCACTTAGTAATTTGTTTATTTTATGGTGAAGTGAGTGATGATAGACTGTTTTAATGTAATTATTATATCAAATACTTCACTCTTCATCGTATGGCAATGTACATTAAAGAATAACATTTAGGAATCATTTTAAATTGCAGACATGAGACAGAGATTGTTGTTTAAATATAATTGAAATACCGAACAAAAATAGTTGTAACATCCCGTAATTATAAACATGCTAATTAATTCTATCATTATAATAGCATTACTAAAACAAAACATTTACGAATATGAAAACTTCGCAATAAAGTCACTAATAACCTATTTCAATTTTATTAACCTACAAATAACATATCCATCAAAGTACACTTTAAAGAAAATGGAAGAATAAATAACTTGGAAATCAAAAATAAAAACAAAAGAAATTCAAAGGGAATTAAAAACAATCGAATTTTAAAATAGCACACGTTTCGAATAACAGCGGACACAACAAGGGCAAACAGGAAGAGAAGAAGGTCCAAATAATCTTCGGGTCGACCTAATAGCCCCCTCATTGAGTGGCCGCCGCAGTGATTTGCGGGTGGTTCGCACAAAAGAGTGCCCCTTTTACCGTCACCCTAGCGCCCGCCATTGCCCGTATCGATGCCGAATGGGGTGGCCCGCACTCGATAGTAGGGACGCTGAAAGTGAAGAAACATATCGATGTATCGATATTTATAAAAATATCAATATCGGCCTCGATATATCGAGGAGAAAATATCTATATATAGATGTTTTCTTTATTGGTCCCTGTCGTCCAAAAAAGCCAAGTATTAAATATATGAATCTGTTGGTTCGATTTCAATATTGTTATAACATTTATTTTATTATAAAATTTTATATCGACATATCGGATCAATATATATTAGACAAAAATATCGATATATTTAATAAAAAATATCGATATATCAATATTTTATCGTCAACCCTACTCGATAGGACCCCGTCGATACTTGAAGCACCACTTTATTGGTTGCCCGATCTTTTTACAACTTGATCCCTTTTATGTTAATCAATTGCCCGGGATTCGGCGGGATCTCCTTGTAGGGATTACGCTTATGCTTTGTAGTTTACGTGATCCCTTTGACGGACCGCTGTCGTGATCTTCCGGGATCTAATGTTTGTTATTACGCACTCCAAACGGTAGTACAATATTGTTTCATTGCGAAAGCGATCTACTTCAAGACTCCCCTTAATCTCTTTATCGGATATTGTTTCCTTTTTTCATGTCAACTTATTGTGCGGAGAAATATTTTGAATTAAACTGGTTTCTGTAGTCTACTAAATGTTAATCATTTGGTTATTTATGAATATATATTAAATGCGAGTTGAACATATACATTTTCGAAATATTTATTTTGCAATTTATCATATAATCTCACATTTAAATTTTATATCTATGATCAAAATTAGTACCACTCACGCCCGGATTCTGAAACACTGATCATCATAAAGAATCATTCTGATCATAAAAAAGATCATTCTGGTCAATTCAGAGAGTTTAACCATCCTTTTGGTACCTAAAATGAAATTTGAAATTCATTTGACAGCTGATTAATTGACATCTATCTACGTTGATCAGTGTTTCAGAAACCGGACGTCAGTAGGTTAGGGAAACGATTATTTATCGAGATATTTCTATAAATAAAAAAAGATTACATGGCTGGAATGTGTGTATCTGACACATATAATCTAGGTCAGCCTGCCTTAGGAACATTGCGACCGTTCAATCGATAAAGTTCTTATTGGTTTTGCTGTTTTCTGCTATATACAACAGTATAAAGAACAACTCTCCTCCACGAATGGGTCAGGTCGACCGCGGAAGTACCACGGGTCCACAGACGACCGGCGTGGAATAGGACTATCAATAATTCTACCTTTCGTTCGGTCAGAGAGGTAACCCACCCTCTCGGTGGTTGGCGAAAGTCTTGCAAAATCTCTAGTGTTGTGACTGTGCATGGGGGGCGGTCCTCGCATACCATTAGGTGACGTCAAATCCAAAAAAACTAAGTCCATCAAAGAAATAATATTAGTTTCTTGGAACATTAGTAATAAATATGTCAAGAAACATTTTAAACAACGTTATCTTGTATAATGTATACTAGATAGCTGATAAACATACTTAAAAGTAATTTTCTTTTGTAAACAAACACATATTATAAATCGATAAAGACATAGACACGGAAAAAACACTATGTTCATCACACAATATTTTCCCAGTAGTGGGGATCGAACCCACACCCTCTGACGCAAGAGACAAGTTCACCTCCACTACGCCAATCGCATCGTCAATTGACATCGACACGCTACAAGATTGACTACGTCATTCGTCATTAATGACGTAGCCGAATGCTGAAATGCATCTTAAAACTGATTCGATCAATCGCGTGCAGCGAGCACCGACAGCAATAAAGCTCGCACTCCAGCGCCCGCGCGGAGCGAGTGCGAACGCGGCGCCAATAAAATCTCGCACAGGTGCTCAAGCGCCAGCGTGGAGCAATTAACGGGCCCGCAATCCGGCCGCTTTAACGGCGGACGAGCGCGGTATGTATAAAACCGCCCGCCCAACGGGCGAAAGGGAATGCGACGGAACGGCCGCGGCCGATGTCCACGCGCCGCTTGAAGAGCGCCGATGGTAATTACAGCGCGGCCCGCAATAACCATTCCGCGCGCACCTCGAAAAGGCGAAATTAAATTTCGCCGCGTAATGGAACGGACACACAAAGAAAGTGGACGGACAAAGGGCGCGGCGCGGCCGCCGCCCGCCCGCAGACTTATCCCCCGAGCGCGCGCGTAATTCGTTTCTAATCGTGTTACGTTTTGTTTAGCGACGCGCTCTGCGGTGGCGACGCGGGAATGCAATTAAAATTCTACGTTCGCCGCGGGCGTCCTCGCCTTTTGCGCACCTTTTTTTTAGTTTTCGCCGGCCGCGTGTGTTCTTCGCGGTGTACGTGATGCTGAGGAACGCCGCTCTGGCTATCGTGGAGACGCCCACGGAGCGCCTGCGATTGTAATTTCGCGCGGTCGCGTGCGCCTCACTCGTGCGGCGGATCGGCCGCGCTAATTGCGGCCCGCGCGCGGGAATTGAACTCGCCGAGATAGGGGTGGTGTGCGGGGAGGGGCAGAGGGGGGAGGGGGGATAGGAAAAAAAGAGTCGCGGTTTCCGATACATGCATTATTCCGCGTCGAGTCGAGAATAGTGTAGTCGGGAACGCGGCTGCCGCGCCGTCAATTATTAAACTCGCCCCGGCGCCGCTTAATTAGGCGCCTCCATAATGTAGCGCCGGGCGGGGGCATAAATATGTGCCGGCGGCGCACTGATCTCGGCGATTCTCAGTTTTCGGCACCGGCCTCAATAATTCAGCGGTCGTGCGGGGCGCCCCCCGCCGCCGCCCCGGCCCCGCCCCGCCCGCGCCCCGTGCAAAAATGAAATCTCTAATGTGAATGCGACTTGAGCGGTACGCTACGCCCGAAATAATTAAGGCGCGCCATTAAAAATTCCTGCGGGCAAGCGTTGGGGGGGGGGGGGGGGGGGGGCGCAGGCCGGATATGTGCGATATTAATACGGGCGGATGTTCTTAGTTTCTCGTATTAGGGCCGACGATGGCCGACGGTCGTTTCGTCCGCGGTCGTCCGTTTGGATTGTTTTTTACTTTCTCATTTATTTACGCGAATCAGGCATACTTTATAGCGTACAGTGATATGCTATGATCGAATTGGATGCACAATCCCTTCCGAGGAGTACAGTATATATAACCAATTCGGGAGCATAAGACCGTGAACCGTCCGGATGCTGCTACACAGATCTTCACTTGTTAACACAATAATAACTATTGTTTGTTTTTTTTCTGTTATGTTTACACTTATTTTAAGTTTTTCCAATATTTTGTTATATATTGTGTAGTTACCTTATTATTTTTAAGTCTTGTATGTATCCATTGTGCTTAGACCATGAATAAACGTTTCTTCTTCTTCTTCTTCAATTCAAATACGCACTACATCTAGGCCGAAACTTTCTATGGACAGATGATTTATAGCCTTCCACGCGTCCACGTTTCTAACATAACGTTGTATAATCCATCACCGAGGAGGAGATAAACTTAAAATTTAATTTAAAAAAATCATTGTTGCTTGTTCATTATTCGAACTCATATTGCTCAAGTAAGCAAGTTAAAAGCGATCGCACCACTGAGCCACCAAAGACCTCTGCCTGGATCTATGCAAATTAAAAATGAAAAGCTGGCGACGGCTTCCGTTGCGTATTGATGTAATTAAGATTTGTTCTGTACCCTGGTGAAGTGTTGGAAACATTGTCGAGCTATAATTATAATAGTACATGTATGAGTCGACATTTGTCTGCAAATTCTCTATGGACTCTAAAAGGGTTGTACCGATTTTGTTGATGAAATGTTCACGCATTCTTGAGACTAGTCCAACTGGTGAACCTGTGAAGTTTGGTATCGAAAAATTTTTCGAATTTTTCGAACGAAAAAACACAAATCGAAATCTTTTTTTTTTTTTGATAATCGGTAACACCAATAAAGCACCAATCAGTTCAATAGATTGAAAATACTAAACCTTAATGTTTTAATTTATTTTAAATTGTATTAATTGTATATGATTGAACGTATTGTTAATTTGCGATCAACTGAGATCATTTGTCTGGACATTACAAGGTCATTTTTAACCGCCTTCAAATACCACCATTCTATGCCAACAAGGAGTTACAAATGTATGAAATTAATAAATAATAATAATAAATAAATATTTTAGGACACATTTTTACACAACATTTTCTAGTCTCAAACTAAGCAACGCTTGTACTATGGGTACTAGAAAACTGATAAAAATACTTAAACATACTTTTCTTTTGTAAATAAATACATATTATACATATATAAACACGCAGACACTAGAAAAACACTATGTTCAGCACACAATATTTTTCCAGTAGTGGGGATCGAACCCACACCCTCTGGCGCAGGAGGCAGGTACACTACCCGCTACGCCATTCGGGTCGGGTAATTTTCTACTTATTATATATTACTACACATTCGTGTAATGTACGTTCAACTCTTTTTTCTGTACTTATGAATATGATATCGCGGTCGACCTCTAGGTTATGAATGTTCGTGCAAAATGGGCCTCTAATTAAAATAAGTGAAAGTAGTTGAACTACACACTCTTAAGTTTTAAGTGCAAAGACTGGCACTAAAAAATTAACATTAACATTTAATAACAAAGGCTCTCTAGTTTTCAATACATAATGTAAAGGCATCATATTAGATAACTACAAGGATTGTAACAAATTTAATAAGAACAAGACGTCGATTTTCACGTATGTCGATGTCCACCGCGTAGCTTAGTGGTTATGCGTAATCCGGATGACGCGAGTTCGAATTCTGTTACATTTTTGTCTTTTTTTTTTTCTGTGAAAATTTGCCAAACGAACAGGCGGTTCACCTGATGTTAAGTGAATACCGCCGCCCATGGACATCTGCTACACCCGAGGGTTGCAGATGCGTTGACAACCTTTTTGGAAATTGGGCTCCGGCCACCTCACTCGCCAGACGAAACGCGAAAGGATTATACTTCCACTTTACGTCGGTCTTCTGTGAGGTCTTGGTACTTACCCGGACGAGCCTGCCCATTCGTGCAACAGCCGAGGCTGCTGCGTGGCCCTACCACCGTAAAAATCTAAATAATAATTCGTATTAAGACAACTGTCCTCCAAAACTCCCCCTTCGCCACTTCACCTACAGACAACACAAAAAAATAAAGCATCTATATTTTTATTTGAGAAGTCGGCAAGCAACCTGGCGGTTCACCTGATGTTAAGTGATAACCGCCTCCCGTGGACATTTGCAACAACCGCAGGGTTACAGATGCGTTGCCACCTTTTAATTAAGTGGACGCCAGCTATCTCACGCACCAGACGAAACGCATAACACTCCCATTTCATGATGATCTTCTGTAAGGGCCTGCTTATTCGTGAACAGTTAATAATTTTGAACAAAAGGAAACCGACTTCGATCAGGAAGCTGTCAACACCTATACCATTGGAGGGTTGCCCTCGATTTGTCTGGGATACCATCATCAGATCCGGGTTTCCTTATCGTGGTATCACCCTGGGATATCTCCTTTCCAACAAAAAAAGAATCATCCAAATGGGTTCATAAATGACGAAGTTATCCGCGAACACACATAAAAAAAAATAAAAATATATACGGTCGAATTGAGAAACCTCCTTCTCTTTTGAAGTCGTTTAAAAACCTCCGTCTTTTTTGAAGTCGGGTAAAAATCTCCTTCTTTTTTGAAGTTCGTTAAAAAGTGTAGATAGTTGTCATTTTAAATAATCTATAAACATTTTCATTAGTTTTTGGTCATTCGACAGGATGGCCCCGGTGGTCTTGGGTTCGATTTCCACACGGCTCAAATATTTGTGTAAAGTTTTTCCCAAGGTAGATTGTCGGTCGCTTGCCGGTCGTAAAAGATCTGACCAATACTATTAACAACACAGAGAAATTAGAAGTGATCATTCGACGGGCGACCATCGTGAATCGATTGATCAGTTCCGTGATAGCTCAGTGTTTAATTCCATATATTCGAAATATTCAACCCGAGTTCGATTCCCCGTGCCGGCACCAACGAAATTATAAATTTGAACTGCTGTCTTATCACCTTCTCAACGGTGAAGGAAAACGGTGTGAGGAAACTTGCATATTTTTGAAATGATGACAAAAAAACTGCTACATTACTTACTACTAGCTTTTCGCCCGCGGCTTCGCTCGCGTTGAAGCCCTAAAATAAATATTTTTCAACCCTTTACAAAACTATTTTCCAATAAATAGCCTAAAAATAGCCTATGTCCTTTCTCAGGCTCTAGAATATCTGTGTACCAAATTTCATTTAGTAGTTTTGTAGTGAAAGCGAGACAGACAGACAGAGTTACTTTCGCATTTATAATATTAGTATGGAGAATTATAATTGTTTCGGACGAGATGCCGAGTTTGCCTAATTAAATCAAGTAATATGTCACATTAGGGATAAAGATTATAAAAAATACGTCCAAATCATCAGAAACCTTCCGTTAAACTATCATACATCTTATCTCGCACTCGTGTCTAAATACGCCGGTTCTAATACAAGTTTAATTCGGCACACGCAACCGGTAAACCGGTATGGGTGGATTTGCGAAGGGCCACCGAAGGGTGAGCCTTATCCAATATTTATTAACTTATTTCAAAGAAAATCGTATAATTAACACCATCGCAGCGCCCCCACGTAATCTCCCCGCGAACCTTTGGCTCCCTGTCATAGATCAACGAGACAGACGCGTCGTACTGAAAGCCTTAAATATGTATAATAGTTTTGACATAAATATCCTACTTTTTTATATAAGAGTTGTTTTAAATTCTTATGTTATTGCCCAGTTTACACCACTATAAATAAAATGAGCGGTAAGAAGTAAAAATTTTTAATATTTATTAAGCATCTAGTATTATTTCAGTATAAAACCCAAAAATTAATATTGTAAATGAAAAATTTTCCCAAAATTTTGTTAGATCTCCACATTTCCTGAGTCTTATTTAAAATTTCCTGAGGTTTATTCTAGTATAGTGGTTTTCAAAATTTTTACACTGATCCTTATTATAATTAAAGCTTACTTTATAAAAAAAAATGTTAAAAACCAAGCTTAACACGGAATCACAAATATCTTCAAAAAGCGGACACGAAATTTTTCCATGTCATGTAAATTTCATAAACCCGTATATTAAAAATATCTTAATTGCGGCGAACTTAGACGCCTACACGGGGGAACTGGCGACCTCGTTTACTTTCGGTAAATGTGGACTCACAAAAAACCATTCCCGGTTTAATGCGGGCGAATTCTTTGAAATGCTCTCTTTCCTTTGGTTCAACTCGCATGTTGGTAGCTCAGTGATCCATAAACTCACATTCTGACTAAGGTATGAATAATTGCTCGTGATTCGAGCTCAGTTCAGCTTATAGTGAAAGTTAAAAAATTTGCGTCATTCAGTGGTGATATTATTGTGCATTTAATGCCTCTATGATTTCGAATAAGTGGTACATGCAAAAGTGTATAATTGAAATTAAGTTTATTAATGTTTGTTACTAAATTTTTCACTTCTAAATATCTTAGCTAGTTGC